ATAGCCGAAACAGAGGAAAGAGGGAGGGGGAGGGGGTTGCACGATCCGATAGAGAAGGGCAGGGCCATTACGTGGTCAGACACGCACGGGACGACGGGGCAGCGCAGGCAGCGCCAGATGGGCCGGGCCGCCTTGGAGGCCATGGAGGCCATGGAGGCCATGGAGGAGGGCGGGGCGGGCGGACCCAAGGCCTCCAGGCTGTCGTGCAGACACATGTATCTTGAGTATTTCGACACCTGAACAGAAGACCCGGCTATCTTTTCAGAGCGATTTGAGAACCGGCTACCTTTTCAGAGCGATCCGAGAATCGGCTATCTTTTCAAAGCGACCTGAGAACCGGCTATCTTTTACGAGCGATCCGAGAACCGGCTATCTTTTCAGAGCGGTCCGAGAACCGGCTAACTGACTTTTTTTAAGAAATTGAGTTTCTTACATTAAAATAATCCGCATCACCTGTTCTATCGATTAATGTAAGAAACTCAATTTCTTAAAAAAAGTCAGTTAGCCGGTTCTCGGACCGCTCTGAAAAGGTAGCCGGTTCTCGGATCGCTCGTAAAAGATAGCCGGTTCTCAGGTCGCTTTGAAAAGATAGCCGATTCTCGGATCGCTCTGAAAAGGTAGCCGGTTCTCAAATCGCTCTGAAAAGATAGCCGGGTCTTCTGTTCAGGTGTCGATTTGTAATTCCGCGGCAAAAGCCCGGAAGCATTTCTCCCGACTCACCCTTGGCCGACCCTCTCTCCAACGATGTGCACGTACCTGGGTCCTGACCGCGACTGCCGACCCCGCGACGACGCCACCAGGAAACAGACTTTCTTCTCGCGCTGCGGCCGCACCGGCAGTCAGTCCGAGGGGTAAAGAGGGAAATGCCGTGTCAATAAGACGGAAGCAGCATCCGCGCAGGTGTTTGGTTAGGCTCACAGCGGGGTGGCTGCTGGAGGCTGCTGGACCGCTGGACCGGCCAGCCTTGAGCCGCCGTTAGGGGCGGCTGCCTTTGCCTCTCCTCCCTGCATGTAGATATGGTTCGGTTCTCAAACCTCTTCCTCTGAAAACAAGAAAAAATTAGAAACAGTGAATGAATGTGGGGGAGGGGAGTGGAGAATCTCGGCCCCATCCATTATACAGATTGTGCGGCTACATCATAATTTTGGGGTGCCGCGAACAGAGAATGAAACCGAAGCACTCCCATTGTCAGCCTGTCTGCATCAATTAATTGCAGTCAGAGGGTGGGCCCTTCGTGGCCCTTCGGTGGCCCTTCGTGGCCCTTCGTGGCCCTTCAGTGGCCCTTCGTGGTCTTTCGTGGTCCTTCGTGGCCCTTCGGTGGCCCTTCGGTGGCCCTTCGGTGGCCCTTCGTGGCCCTTTGGTGGCCCTTGTGGCCCTTCGTGATCCTTCGTGGCCCTTTGTGATCCTTCGTGGCCCTTCGTGGCCCGTCGTGGCCCTTCGTGGCCCTTCGTGGCCCCTCGTGGCCCTTCGTGGCCCTTCGTGGCCCCTCGTGGCCCTTCGACTCTGCACCCCCGGGGCTTCCAAGGGACGGCCCTTGGGCGCCTGCACCGGAAGAGAGAGGGTGGGGGAGAGAGAGACAGCATCCACCTCGTGATGCAAGTCTGGCACGCGCTACCCCCTTCCCTTCCGGTGGCGGATCAGAGCGTCTCGACTTCAAAGGACCAGGCCAACAGGCGCAGCGCGGCAGGCCCGGCCCGGCCCGGCCGAGGCCCGCACAACTGGAGATGAATACAACCGAAACCCGACCTGGCTGAAGCGCTGAACCCAAGCCGAGCGGAGCGGGGCGGGCCTTCCGCAGTGTGGACCCGGCCGGCAGCGTCTCGAGAAAATGTAGCGAATGCAGCCCGCCCCATTGGGAGAACCAAGTGGAAGAACTACAAGTGGGCCAGCACTCGCTCAGAAATCTGCTATCACTTTGTGACAAAAGTCGCGGATGAAATCTTACTCAAAACGCTCTGATTTTGATTGGATGGGCGTAACGACAATGTCTCTTGAGGAAAATAAAGCCTTGAAATTTTCGTCACGAGACCGCTAAAATTTTTGCATTGAAGTGGGACTCCCAGTGGCGTGGGAGCACAAGTGGGAGGCCAATAAGGGCGGAGCAAGCGGGGGCCACACTGCACGGGATTGAGGCATTGAGGTTTATGATTTACCGTCGCAGCTACAAAGGAGACGGGTGCACTCGTCCTTTGGAGCGGAAGGGCTGAGGGGGTGGGAGGGGGAGGGGAGGGGAGGGGGAGGGGGAGGGGGTGGCAAGGTGCTCGGCGTGTTTGTTGCCTCCCCTTTACGGCGACCGTCAAGATTGGTGTAAACTACGGACGGCATTGCCTGGCGTTTTGTTGCCACCCGCAAGCTGTTCCCGCCGTGCCGTGCCCGTCGTGCCGGCCAGACCGTTGCACGATTTCTTGCTCCGCGAATCATCAATTTTTTGTTTGTCTCTCTTTTTTTGGGGGCGAATTAATTGATGGCAGGGTCTTCTTGCGCTACGGTGTGCTTGAGCGATCTGCCCCAGTTTCAATGTAATTTTGTTTTTGCTTTACTCCCTTTCTCGTGCTTTTTCCCTCCTTTTTTTTCTACTCTAGCTTTCTTCCTTTTCTCTATGGGCAGCCTCTAATCCTCCAGCCTGCCACCACACCCACCGCGAGCGCGCGACCGCCTAATCCGACCCCGCCCAATCTCTTACGACAAGGAAGGCATCAAATCTGCACGCCAAAAAAAAGGGATGAAAGAGGGGGAGGGGCAAATTTAAAACAAGTCTCTGGCCTGGCGGACGCTACGGGCCAAGTACACTGCGGGCAGAAGGCAGAGCAATGGGAGGGGGAATCAGCCCAAATCCATAAGCCACTGCAAAAATCAATTTTGAAAAAAATACTGATTCATTTTTTAAAATAAGCAACACGTTCTTCATTTTTACATCACCGATGGATAAACTGTGAGAAATGGCCGGAAATGGCGGTGTTGTCCAGTGACGTTGCGCCCTGCACTGAAATTAATTAGCGAAAAGTATCATCTGCGAGGTGTTTCAACTTTTGGTGTGGCCTCTAGCTATTGGCGCGCACTCGCGCGCTCAAATTCTCTCTCTCTCACACACACACACACCACACACACACACACACACACACACAGAGAGAGAGAGAGAGAGAGAGAGAGAGAGAGAGAGACACGAGTCAACACGCGCAGGACGGAGCGTGGCCCGACGCCTCGGGGAGCCGCCGAGGCCGCCGTGCCTCGCGTTGCACAGCCAACAGTTTAATTTACGGAAAGCAGAGAAATTGTATGCTCGGGCGGCATTCCGGCTCGGCCAGGCCTGGGCAGGCCTCGGCAGGCACGGCCTGCAGCCCCGAGAGCGGCGCGCGGCGCGGGCGAGCCAAGCTGCTCGCGTAAATTATTACGACAATGTGATGGGATAACATCTCCGCCCTTTTGTGCGGCGCGCGCCACCACCGCGCGATACCGCCGCACTGCTGCCACTCGAAAATAATAAAAACAAAAAGACTCGCTGTTGTTATTGTTTCTTTACTTTGAATCTCGGTAGTATGCCAAGAGGCTGGGTCGGGTCCTCGTCGAGTCGCGCTCCGGTGGGCTCGTTAAGTCAGTCCGTATTCGTCTCTCTCTCTCTCCCCCCTCTCCTCTCTCTCTCTCTCTCTCTCTCTCTCTCTCTCTCTCTCTCTCTCTCCTGCTCTCCCTTTTTCATTTTTGCAAGCGGTGAGATTATGTTGATGTTTACTCGGTTGTGTTGGTACTACTTGGTGAGTCGCCACTTGCTGAGAAATTCAAGTATTAAACGCTGGTGTGGTTTGAAGCGAAAGATGCTTTATGCTAATTAATTGATCCCCGGAATAAACGGGAGTGTGTGTGTTACGCGTCGTGCCTCTCTCCCCGGGGCGCCAGGCCAGGCCACGCCGGGCCGCGCCTCGCCCGATCTGCATTGCTAATAACGCTGAGCTGGAAGACAAAGAAGAGGGCCGCCTTTCGCCTCTCGCCGCGATGATTAGAGAAATCAAGTTTCTTTTGCGCGCCAGCAGCGCGGGAGTGCCGGAGTGGCGCGCCAGTGCTGCTGCCTTCGCGAGCTTTGTCGCCGCAAAAGGGAGAAAAAGTAAAAATCCCCCCCCCCCCCCCCCAAAAAAAAGAAAGAAAACAAAGAAAGAGGGACGGTTTTGCAGTCAAACAAGTGTAGACCGGCCCTTCTGGCTGGCGGCGGCGGCCCCGAGCCCTGAGGTGTGTTCAGTTAGCCACCGCTCCCCAGCCGTGTGTTTCGCAGGGCGGTGTTCCCCCACGCCTGGCTAGGTGTGCCTGACCACGCCCAACCTCCTTCCTGCCTGCCGCTGCCTGCTGATGGACTCGGGGCGCCAAAGTGCCGATCAGCAGCAAGTGGCGGCGCAGCGCGCGCAGCGGCCCCGCCCGCACGATACACCTCGTGCTGCAGCAGCACAGCAGCACCGCATTTCGGAATCCGCTTCGCGCACCGGTATTGGCCTGACGCCACAGAACGGTTCATGTTTGCGCCTTTGAGCTTTGAGCCACGCACGGGACCGAGACGGCCTTCTGCCGGCTTCAGCTTGCGCGCTGTCTCTCTCGCACGTGAACGAAACGCCCCGTGAGTGCGAGAGATTGAGCCGAGCGTCAGCCAGGCCGCGCGGAAGAACGAGCGAGAGGGGTGGGGGAGCAGTGTAGGCCGCCCCGAAGAAATGCTGCCATTCGCTCTTTTGCTCGTTGGCGTTTTCCCGCTTTTTCCGTCTTTCCCGCCACTTTTCCGCTTTTCGTGTTTGCGCGCGTCCGGGCCGTCTGGGCCGGCCGGGGCTCTCCCCTCGCCCACTACACTGTAATGAAGGCGGCCCGGGAAAAGGGCGAAGGTTGCGGGCGAGTGGCCCAGACGGGCCCGCCAGGCCCGACGACCGTGTTCTGTTCCCTTGGCTTGCTCACTCAATATTTCCTCGACATTTCGTGACGTGTGTGTTCTTGGATCCATTTTGTAAAGTGGCTGGCGTCGTGTGTTGCAGATGGCGGCAAAGGACGCAGCTTCTCCCGCCTGCAGGGCTCGGCCTGCCCGCCGGGACCGCCTCGCATCGCCTTCGCCGACGACTCGCAGCTGGGTGAGTGTGTGGCACACTGGAGCCGTCCAGGCCGTCCGGGCACACTCCGCTGTCGACACTGTGGACGTCAGGCCGGCAGCCAGCCGGCACGGCGGCCGTATAAAGTGTGCAAACACCACCAGGCCCTCCCTTGCCGGAGCATTGCAGCACGGCAGAACCGGGCAGAGCATGGCGAGCCGGCAGAGTGGCGGGAAGGCGGTCCTGTCAGCTGAAGTGAGGTTAGGTTGGCCAATGTTAGGTTATGGTCCATGGCGGCTAATAAACGCTAGCTCGCGCACTTGCCGGTCAGGCATAATGTTGATGTGGGTCACGCTCCGACATGGCGACTACAACGCACCATAATTACCTCTGGCTCGTTCCCGGCCAATTACAAGCCGCGAAATCTGGAGCTACGGGGTTTCTCGGCAGCGTATACGAGCCTAGTAAGAAATTCAGGGCCAGCGGGATGGCCACCATGCTGCACAGTGCCGTGCCGCGCCGCGCTGTGCCCTGCCGTTTGTGAGATTAGATCCTGTCGGCCTTGGGGTGGTCCCCGGGGATGGCGGGGGAGTGGCAGAAATCGGGGTGACTTGTAGCCCTGCGAGACCCGCACCCACTACACGGTGACCAATCATGAGCCTGCGTTTCAAAATGTCCCTCCGAAAGGAGAAAAAAAAAAGGATGGTGCAAAGTAGTAACGAAGCTGTCAGTCAGTTTGACAGTCTGGTTGGGTTGCGCACTATCCTTCAGTGGGGCACTGTGGCTTGGACGTTAGTCATGTTTCATCTTGGTATTTTAAAAACCGTCAAAAGTGATAAAAACATTCGGAGTGGCATTTTCCAGCAGGGGGTGAAACTATGGACGTGCCACCGGAGGTGCGGCCGGCTGGCCGGCGGTCCATCACAACTGTCTAAAGAAGAAGCAGCATAACTTTGGCAGGAATCACGACGACGGCCGAGTCGCCCCGAGTGCGACGCAGTGCGACGTGGCCGAGGACGTGGCGGGGTGGCCATGGCTGTTCGGCCATGGCTGTTCGGCCATGGCTGTTCGGCCATGGCTGTTCGGCCATGGCTGTTCGGCCATGGCTGTTCGGCCCGGTCCTTTTCCCCACACCGCCCGCACCTCCACGACGACGGGGTGCCCCCGTTGCCAGACTGACCCGCTGACCTTTTAGCCACGGGCGGGGCGCGGCGGGGCGGGGCGGCAGTGTGGTATTCGGGGTGGGGCGGCACGGCGGCATGCTTACTGCTGTGGTGGTCCGATCCCCTCGCGGGGTGCGAAAATGGAAAGGGGGTGGAAGGGGGAGGGGCTGGCGGGGCGAGGGCGGATTAAGCCGTCTCGGGCGGTGCCGGGGCGGTGCCGGGGCGGTGCCGGGGCGCGGCCAAGCAGGGCCAGCTGACTGCTTCCGAACCGCGCCGACCGCGCCTTCGTCGCTTTGTCTCACTCACGCCCCGAGGTGCTTCGCGAATAATGTTGTCAGCCTGACCGCACTGCCAGAAAGTCTGGAGAAAAGCTGGCCTATGTCACACTTCCAAACGCCCGACAGTTTCTCTCTCTTTTCTTTTTACTTGATTAACACTAGAACCGCTGACTTTTTTGTATACCTAGAACCGCGGAAGGGGTCATTTTGACCCCCCATTTTTTCTGCCCGTATTTTTTTAATTTTGCTCATGTTATGGGCCCTTAACGATGTAAAATGATGTATCTGAGATCAACAATGATATTTTGAATTATATAGGGCCTTAAAAGGCCAAAGGTAGGCAACCCGCATGGCACGAATAACCTGTTTTGCTCCTTTTCTACCATTTTTGGCCCGTCCCTTGTATTTTTTTTGTTAAAAAAATGACGGAGGGACGGAGTATGATCCATGCTGTGCGTCCGTCCGTTCGTTCGTCCGTCTGAGGACTTCCCGTGGTCCGATCTTGACCAAATTTGATATGCAGCCTACTTGGGTGACCCTTCAGAACCGCCCGCTGGCAGCAAATCCGATCCGAGCCCCGGGGGCGCTGCTGCAGGTGCATCATGGTCTACCTTAGGTCGAGGAGGATTTCGGCAACGGATCAGCTAGAAGAGCATGAAGGGAAATTTTTGAATCGGGGCGACGAGACAAACCAACGGTGCCAGTTTCAAGCATCGGAGAGGTTTGAACCCGGGTTCAAATCCCAGTGGGGTACATTAGAACATTCCTTTTATTCAGTTTTTGCATTGTTGTTGATGTGTATGAGGGTGCTGATCTAATTTATGCTGATCTAAAAACATCTATTTTGACCCCAGACTCAGGTTCAAGTCCCGTCCGGATTAAAATAGGCGAAATTAGTACATTCCTCAATGTACGGGACGGCCAAAGTTGCCGATGTATATCGCAACTTTTCCTGTTATTCAGTGTGGGGATGGGTACTAAGTGACGTAGATTTTTTACCAGATGATACCTTTACACTTGAAACGTATCTAAAACTATTAGACACATAAAGGTGTCACCGTGCTTTTACTGCTGAGTCCAGAAACCAAGCGGTATCCTAACAATAATACAATAATATTAGGGTGGTGGCTGCCGGGCGGGATCGTGAGTGTCGCATGGCAGGCAGTCTGCTCGAAACATCGACAATACCTCGCGGGTACAGCGCGAGCGGCACCGGCCAACAATCCCCTGCCCCGGGTACAGCGCGCACAGAACAGCAACAATGTCTCACGGCTCGGCCGGTGCAAGCCACAGCTCGGTTCGCACCGACATTGGCCAGCTCGCTTAGGTCCATGTATATTATTGGGCTATCTATTTATTTCATACACAGTTATAAAAAAGCCCGAACTACTACCTCGAAGAAAACCAAACGAGTATCATCTGCTTTCATTAACGTTCGTTGAATGAGATTTTTTTATTCTACAGATACCTTACGCGGAACACACGCATCTTGCATACATTTAGGCGTTTGCTCGGCGGGTCGCCTATGCCGTTGGCCAAGTTAGGTCTCCCAGGGCAGTCCATAGCACTCCCAAATGATTCACCACTAAAATTGACGCTTGTGACGCTTTTTTATTGCCAAAATTCGAACTTCCTGAGTGCAAACAATACAGGGGTCAAAATGACCCCTGCCGCGGTTCTAGGTATATTGTTGTCCTCGCCCACAAAAATGGTCCGACAGGCCAAAATTTTCACTCAAATGTTCTTTTCTGGTATTTATAAAAAGTCAAAAAGCCCCAAATCCGAGAAGAAAAAAATAAGTCAGAAAAATTTATGACGAAAATTAAAAGGGGTCAAATTGACCCCCTCCGCGGTTCTAGTGTTAAGGGGAAAATGGAAAACGCTTTAGGTAATGATCGATCGACTGCTCAGCGCCATTCGCTCAGTCCGGAACAAATTACGCGCTCTTTCGTTTGGAATTGATTGGATGGCAGGCTGTTTGATGTCCTTAAAGTGGCACTAATTCAATCGGTGTACCTTGTCTTTGTTGTTGTCCTTGTTGTTGTTGACCGGCGCTTTTATTCTGTTCCAGACCCGCACAAGTACCTCCGCCTGCACCGGCTGTCGTCGCCGGGCCCCACCACGGCGGGCATGGACTTCCCCGCCGCGCCGCCGCGCGCCTCGGCGTCCCGGGGCCCGAGCAACCGCGTGTCCTCGACGGGCTGCACGGGCTCGGCCTCGTCCACCGCCCTCAACCGCATCGTCAAGCTGCTGAACCAGCGCTCGGCCCGCGACTCTGGCGCCGGGCTGGGACTGGGGCAGGGCCTGGAGGCCGGCGTGGACGCCAGCGGCACCCGGAGGCTCAGCTGGGAAAGGTGAGGGTCTCGGCTCGTCAGTCGCATCCGCCGCCTCCAGGGCAAGTGCCCCGCTAACGCCACCAGCGCCAACGGCCAAAGTTGCAAGCGTTATGGGTTGGCGCGAATCAGAAACTGAGGTGTGGAGAAGGCAAGCGTGGGGAGGGCGCGGGGCGTCGTCGACGGGAGGGGGAGGGAGCACCTTCCCTTACACGCCGCCGAAACACCCTCCCGGTTATATTCGGCTCCAGTGTTCCAGGAGTTCTGGCGGGGAGAGGTGGAGTGTCGGTGTCTGCCGGGCTTGCCTACCCGCGCCGCCACAGGGGCGCCCCTCTGCGCGTCTGGATGCTGGCCCTGCTGGCCGTGCTGGCCTCGATGGTGGCGCGGGAGAGCAGCGCCGACGTGGCCTGGCACGGCCAGGCAAGGCCGCCAGTTCTATCCATTAACCTACAAACTGAAACTGAGCGACGCAGAAAGTTGCCCTCTGAGTTGGAGCTTCGCGCCGCCCAGTGCTGCAGCGGTGCCGCCCTCTCGGAGGCGGAGAGAGGCGAGAGGCGGCCTTGGCGGAGAGCGGGGCGCGCCGCCGCCGCCGTCGTGGAGGCCGGCCCGGACTCCATAAATACTGCACGGCTGTCTGAGGGCACCGGGAGAACCTGACCCAATGGAGTCAGTCCGTCGTCCCGCTCGGTGTTTTGCACCAGTGCAGGGAGGCGACAGGGCGACCGCGTCGCTGTTGGAGCGCTGGGGCGTTGGGCCAAGGGCAAGGACGCAGTGCTCACCGCGACACGCTGTTCCACAAAAATAAAATGAATAGAGCCACGGGATATTGATGAACGGCCCGGCGGCGTCGATACTCCGCGCTGAAAAGGGCGCGCCTGGCTGCGCCCCAGCGAGCGCGGTGTATCGCCGCCGGGTCGTTTCCGCTGCTCGTTCTTGTGCGCGCGCTCGTTGCGCGGGTCGTCTGCTCAAGGTGAGCGCGGCACGCCGGGGCACGCCGGGGCGGTAACGGCGGCAAAGGCGGCCAAGGAAGGAGCTTGTTTGGCCGCACCCAGCCCCACCCAGTAGCGAAGAAATAGAGTCGAGTGTGGCGCGACCACCGCGCTCCGGACGCCGCGGGGAGGGGAGGGGGAGGGGCCATAAACGTGGAGGCGCCGCGCTCGCGTCGAGTACAAAAGGAGCGTCGTGCTTTCTTTGCCACTGACTGCTTCAATTTATAGGGGCGGTTCGGTATTTACCGGTCGAGGATGTGTTGGCGGGGCGAGGGTCTCCAGGTGCTGGGGGTGGGGGTGCATTTACAAGTTCGATCAGCCTCGTCGACAACAAAAGAACGACGATAACATCGCTAAATTTTGGACAACTGCAACTAAGGCCGTCAGAAAGGTCCTGGAGATTCGATGGAATTTTGACCATTTTTGCGAGGCCACTGCTCTCCAACTAGCTGCGGTCAAAGCCTTTCCGAGGCAGGGCATTGAGAGAGTAGTGTCTTAAGAACATTAGAGCGTTTAGGGGGGCCTTTGACCGCAGCTAGATTGGACGCAAAGGCCACCCAAAGTCAGCAAAAACGGCTGCTTTGGAGATTCATTCACTTTTTGACCATTTTTGTGAGACCAGTGCTCCCGAACTAGTTGCGGTCAAAGCCTTCCCGAGGCGGGGCATTAAAGAGAAGTGTCTTAAGAACATTAGAGCGTTGAGGGGGGCCTTTGACCGCACCTAGATTGGACGCAGAGGCCGCCCAAAGTCAGCAAAAACGGCTACTTTTAGAGATTCAGTGATTTTTTTGACCATCTTTGCGAGGCTATTGCTCCCAAACTAGCTGCGGTCAAAGCCTTTTCTAGGCGAAATCTCCAATAATCGGTGGCTTATATAATAATCAAATAATCAAAAGTAGTCACATGTAATCAATATATTCAGTAGTCAGCGTTACATGAAAGTCTGGAGTGGGCTCACTGGTAAAACTAAAGCGTAGTATTACCCACTGTTTTCAAGCGTAATTAGTTTACGCTTGAAATCAAGCGTAACAGGCTCATTCGCCAAGATTTCCCCTATCTAAATGCAAGGGGGAATTTCCAGACTATGCTTGATTTCAAGCGTAACGTCTTCAAGCGTAACTTTATGCTTGACTCAAGCATAGAGTTACGCTTTAGTTTTACCAGTGCTACCCCTCGTGCAGTAGCTTCGTGCCTAAACCCTTCTCCGTCCCTTGCAGGCGCGACCCCTGCGCGACGGGGCTGCCCCGGTCGTCGTCCATCGACAGCATGGTGGAGGCCGTGTGGGTGGAGGCGCCGGGGGCCGCGGGTGCGCGCGGCTCGCTGTCGGGGCCCGGCATGCGGCGCGCCCCCTCGCCGCTGCTGCAGCGCGCCGACCGCGCCGCCGCCGCCGTGGCCGGGTCGCCCTCCGCCGCCAGACGACTCAAGGGCGAGCGCGCGCAAACAGGTAAGCGTCACTTTCCCTCGCAGGTCTCGCAGGCGGAGTCGGAGGTCGGCAACCCTAGGTCCGACCCAAGGTCGCCAGTCGGAACCCCTAACTTGAACTGCAAGGGTCCCAGGACCCGAGCCGAGGAGGGACCTGGGGAGACTCTGCGGCTCCGGTTCGCTTTCACCCGCTTTGGCCGCACCGAACCGGCCACTCCGCCCCCAGGATGAGGCGATGAGGACGGGTAGCGAGGTGAGGCGCCGTGGCACACCGTGGGACGCCGTGGCACACCGTGGGACACCGTGGCACACCGTGGGACGCCGTGGCACACCGTGGGACGCCGTGGGACACGCCGCCGCGCTGGAGCGCCGGAGCGCTGGAGAGCTCAAGGCTCCAGAAGATGGATGGCGCAGCGAGATTAGAACACACCACACCCCTCTCACGGCGAATGTGACATTTCTCTTTTTGGGTGTAGCACGTACACTGTAAGTGCACTTTCCTACTGGGTTCCTCCACTCTGGCGTGAATTTTGAGGCCGCCTCGCCGATTCGGCGCGAAGAACCTCATTTCCCTCCGCGGCGCCGCGGCGCTGAGGCGCCGAGGGTGGCATGCAGCGGCGTAATGAACAAAGTTTGCTTGCGCTCCAGCACGGTCGTCACGGTCGCCACGGCGGCCAGGACGGCGACGACGCGACGGCGGCCTGGTTGCCGTCACGGCGGCGTCAAGCAGAGCCTCCTCGGTGGCGGCGGGGATGCCCGCCCCGCGCGCCGTGGCGGTGCCGCCCGAGGTGACCGCCAACACATTCCGCGGCCGCGGGGCGACAGCCTGCGACAGCCCTCCCCCTCGCTGGAGTCTGGCCAGCGCGTGCCAGGTGGCAAGGGGTGGGGGAGGGGGAGGGGTGATTCTTCGCCGCGGTCTTCGGTCCTCGCCAAGGGCATCCCTGCCCGCCAGCTCGCAAGCAAGTCTTGTGCTGCTGGGCAAGCCCAGGCAAGCCCTTCCGCAGGTCTCTTCTGGATCGGACGGGCCAGGCGAGGCCGCGAGGCTCCGTCGCTCTGATGGGGCGGTTGGGGCGTTCCGCAGGGGTGCGAGGGAGACAGTGACGATCGTTCGGACTCGCTCGGTAGGTTCCAGCAGGTTGGCGGTCACGCCCTGCGAGACGCTGCCCGTCGTCTCCGCTGCTCCGCGCTCCGCTCCCCGGGAGGCGGCAGGGCAGGCGGCAGGCCGGACGGAGGCCGAACTGGGGGCGCCGGGAGCGCCGCTGCGGGCCACCAGGCGGCCGGCCCTGGCGGACGGGGTGCCTACGCTGCGGCTGGCAGGCGCTCGCCGCTCGCCTCGCCTCGCCGCTAGCCATGCCGCCGGGCTCGCCGGGGGGGGGGGGTTTCAGTCTCTGTCGCGGTGCTGCGGTGTCGCGGTCAGGGATCGGGTGGCGGCTTTGGGGCTGGGGCTTGGGGCTCCGACTCGGACATGACAGGAGAATCGTCGTCGCAGTGCCATTCGGAATCGGAGAGGAGGAGGGGGGAGGGCTGAGACAATACAAGCAAGGCAAGACGCTCAAAGGGACCCGCCAAACGTTCCATCAGTCGGGCCGACCGGGCTCAGGACTCGGAGGGACTCGCATCGCCTCCAGCGGGCTGTGTGGTGTGGCGCAAACGCTTGGAGGCGGCTGAAAGGGAGAAGGGAGGGGGAGGGGGGAAGAATTGCGGTGTGCCGGATTCCTCATCCCTCGCAATGATGGCAAAGGGATCAGTCCGCCTGACTCGATGTGATGAATTAGGGCTGGGGAGGGGGGGGGGGCACCGCGACAGGGAGACCGACCGTCCTGCAGGGACGGCGGGAAGCAGGGCTAGCAGGGCCAATCATGCCTCGGGGCAATAAGGGTGCCGAGGGAGGGGGAGGGGAGGGGCGGCGTTTTGCAAGTTTGCGATGTGACAGCGATAGCTGGGTAGGCTTGGCCCCGGCCACCCGGCCGGCCCCGGTGGAGGAGAGGAGTGTTCCATTCGCGCTGCCACTCCACAGAGTGGCCCGCCGCCCCGCCCCGCCCCGCTACGCCACGCCACGCCACGATAAGCGATGATTGCACTCGGGAAAGAGTGCTGGAATTGGCTGCATAAAAATGTTGAGCAAAGCGGGGCAGGCGGCACGCGGCGCGTCGATGTTCGCGATGAATGCGAGTCGGGGGTCGTGCGGCTCGCTGCATCTGGAGTCCTGGAGCCATGCTGGAGCCGGATCTGGGGCAGGAAACTCTGACAGAAAGGGCGGGGCATTTACACACCAGGCCACTGGGGAGGAGTATGCCGTGGAAAAACGTTTTAGTGTGCAAAGTCGCGGCAGTGCCACTGTGCCACACTGCAAGTGGCAACGGGGCTAATCCCTTTCGGCGAGTCGCTGCCCAGTGCACAGTGTGCCCGCGGGGACGGCGAGGGCCGGGGAGGGCCCAGGGCCGAAGGGGCAAGGGCCGCCGCGGGGCCCGCTGCATAGCCCAGTGTTTTATGAGGTGCGAGCGAGACGACAAACTTTTCCAATTATGGCGACGAGTCCGACAGTCCGAGGCACTGCACTGGCAGGGCCGTGGCAGTCCGGACTCGAGTCGTCATCGGGCTTTGGCCTCACTTTGACAACGAACGACGCGCCGCCGCGCCGACGCGCCCCTCGCACGCAGATTCCAGTGCAGAGCGCATTCCTGCAGTCGCTCTGTCTCTCTCTCTCCCGAGAGCGAGAGAGGAACCTCCGCTCGAACTGTTTGCTTCGCGGTGGAGGCTGGAGTGGCCAGGAGGATGAGTTTGCAGTTTGATTCCGAACAGGCCCGCTCGTCGCTCTGTCTCTCTCGCACTCGCAAGGGCATCCGGGCTGATCCGGCGCGGGCATGCCCGCGTCCATAATTACAACTATTGCCATCAGTCGGATAACGACCGAGCACGCGCGACGCGATGCGCGAAGCAGCCGGCTGGCGGCTAAGGGCCCCGGCACCCCGGGCCCGGACGCCCGCCCGCCCCCGGTCCCCCACCGGGGGACCGACCCGCCACCCCCGGGGCCAACCTCCATGGGGCCGCCATGGGGCCGCCATGGGGCCGCCATGGGGCCGCCATGGGGCCGCCATGGGGCCGCCATGGGGCTGCCATGAGGCCGCCATGGGGCCGCCATTAGCGCCCGTCGCGGCCCGGCGCGGCGTCGTTCTAATGGCTTCTCCATGGTGGCGAGCAAAGAGGAAAGTAGTCTGATCAGCTTTCCCGCCGAGTCGCTCTCGAGACGAGCACCCCTTCTTGGCGGGGCTGGGGGGGGGGGGGGAGCGACTTTGCCCGCGGAAGGGGACAGCGGGGGCCTAATCCGTCATTCCGCATTCCTCATGCAATATGCCTTATCTTCCCTTGTCCCCAAACTTCCCGACTGGCGTCGTCCCCGCCCACGTCCCAAATTATTCAACACGTTTTCGCGAGTTTTTCCCGGTTTTCCCTGTCCTGCCGCTACTTGGCCGCGGCGGCGCGGGGCGGGGCCAAGGCATGCGTGCTCTTCCCCCTGCGCCCTGCGCCTGCATTGTACCGCGGTGGACCGTCCACGGACGCGGACGCCGGCCACTTTTCAATTTGCTGCCCGCCCTCCCGTTTCGATATTAATGCGACAAGTTTTGAGCGGCGTTTTGGGGGTCTAAGTTTGTCCCTGGCTGCATGTATAAGTAATCCCCTCCGAATGGCGTCCTGCCCCTCCCGGGCCCCTCCGGATCTCTTTGGTCCTTTGGTTCGCCCGTCAGTGAAAATCGCCCTTCCGCCAGCAGCGCTCCTCGCTCCGTCTCTCTCTACGGGGCGCCCCGTGAGTGCGAGAGAGCGACTGAAACGCCTTTCGGAATCAGCCTGCAGGGTAGGCTGCAGGCCGCAGGCAGGCCCAAAAGCACTTTTACCGCTTTGGGGTGGGGAGGGCCTGGCTGCTGGCTCGGGCTGAAGCTTCGCGGGCCGGGTCCACTTTAGAGTGTCGTGCCTCGTGCCTCGGCCACGAAGAGTGTTGGTTGTCGGAACAGATCACTTCCGAGCTTTGGACTCGGAAGCTGGAGTCACGTAGAGCCCCGCTGTGTAGCGCCGCGCGCAGCCCTAGCGCAGCACCGCCCGCGGACTGCCAATAGCGATTTAACTCTTCGCTTTACTGCCAATAATGCGGCTACTGCCCACTACTACTCCCTTGATGGGGCATTCAGGCGTTCCGCTGGCGCGACCGCGTGGCGCTGTCCAGTACTGTCCCCATCAGCGGCTTCGTCGCTCCGTCTCTCTTGCACTCACGGCGCGCGCCGAAGGGGTCGAAGGGGTGCGAGAGAGACCGACCGCTGCCCCACCCTCTCCCCGTGACAGGACTCGCAGTGTGGTGCGCTCGGTCCAGCCGGGTCCAGCTCGGCCCTGCACTGCCGGTGTAGCGGTCGGGCAAGCGCCGCGGCCCAAGTCGCGACGCGACCCGACCCTCCGACCCGACCCTTGTCCGCCGGCTGTGTCTGTGTGAGTGTGTGTCTGTCGCGGCCAACGACCCGCGCCCTTCCCCCTCCCCCTCCCCCTCCCCACTCCCTTGCGCGTCGCCGGACAGACACTACAATGGCGACTCTGCGGAGCCTGGAGCCGGCGGGGAGCCTGGACCGGCGTGCTGGCAGGTGGCCGTAGAGGCCGTGGTCGGGCCGGCCGGCCGGTCGGGCCACATAGCGATTCGCGCGCGGGCCTGGAGGCAACACTGTAAGCTAGAGCCGCGGCGCTGGGTAAGGCTAAGGCTGTGGACTGGGGTAAGGCCCGTCGTGTCCGTCCGTAGTGACTGGAGCGCACGAGCCGGCCGTAGTGCGCCCAACGCCCAACCGATCCCCGCGCGAGGCTAGAGCTGGCCGCGCTGGCCGACGGTGTGCCTACGCCCTACCTGGCCAGCCGCCGCGCCAGCCAGCCGCCCAGCCGCGCCATGCCCAACACACACGGGCTGCGGGCTGCGTCCGCGCCGAAGGTCTCCTTGTTCTCCAGCCGGCGTGGCCGCCCACCAGTGCGAAAGAGAAGGGAGAGTCTCCAACGAGAGTCCCTGCGCTCCGGTCAGAGAAGTCAGAAATGTAGGTGTTCTTCTTCTTCTTCTTCTTCTTCTTCTTCTTCTTCTCCTTTGTACTCTTGTTGTGTTTTCTCTTTCTCTTCGTCTCCCCTGCGTCCACGACCGCGTTGGCCTAGCGACCCTCCTGTAAGAGGGCGCAAGCTCGAGCTTTGGTGGTCGCGGGGGAGTTGGCACCTGCGCGAGGCTAGGGTATAAAAAGATAGTCGGTCGGTTTATTGTCGCGCGTGCTCGGGCCAATTAAAATTTGTCAGGAGGAAGAATGCGGGTGGACGACGCCGGCCAGTCAGGAGCTAAAGTAATTTATTTCCGATTCAGTGCACTGCTTGGATCTGAAAATCAAGGCCAAGGAAACCTTCGCCAAATACAAAAAGTGTGCACCAAACCTCAACTCCACAAAGTTTCCGCCAGTTCTGAGCTGCAGTTATTGTTGTTTACCGCGGCAAAGGTTCCTCTCGGGGTAAATACAATTTTTATTTTAAAAATTTTGACGTTAGTTGCACGTCTTCACCAGCAAATTAAACTTTGTTTGGCGTCTTTGTGAAAAAAGCGTGTCGGCAACGCGGGCGTCTGCATTCGGGCGACTACTGTTTTCATACCCCAGCCTCACACAGGTCGTTTTTCGGTTCCCCGAGGCCCAGGGCCCAAACCCCCAAAAAACCAGGAGGCCGGATTCGGGCTCGGCTTGCGCATCTCTTAAAGGAGGGTCGCTACGTTGGCCCCTGCCCCCTCCTCTCTCCCTCGCCGTCCTTTCCCACTCGTTCTGCTTGTGAGCAGGTCTGCGGCTCGGCTGCGGTGCTGCGGCTGTGCGGCTGGAGTGGGGGAGGGCCCGTGTGTAGTTGTGTAGTAGTGTATGTGGGGGGGGGGGACGCGGACAGGGGAGAAGGAGGAGAATAACAGAAACAAGTGGCAAAGCAAAAGCCAAGAGTCAGTCTCCAGCCGCACCGGCCCCTAAGCGCACCGGTGTGCCGCTGCTGCGTGCGCGGTGCCCGGCCAGTGCAGTGCCTTATCGTCAACCGGTTCGCGTCCTCGGGGCGTGCGCGTGAGTGCGTGTGCGTGCGTGCAGGGAGACTGCTGGGTCGTGTCGGAGGCGCCACCGGGACCACCAGGACGCCGACGTCGCCGGGAGCGGAGTCGAGGCCGAGCGTCGCGCCGTGTCCAAAGGACCAAACTCCCAAAAAAAGGAAGACCTCTCCGACTCTCCGGGCCCGGCTCCGGCTGCCCAGGCAGGACGATGCGGCGCGGCTGGCGCGGCCGCTGGAAGGCTCCAGCGTCTTCTCCAGCGCCTGCTCCAGCACAGGGGCTTTAGCAGCCTTGGCTGCGAAGCGCGACCAGCGCGACCCGGTGCAGTGCGCCAGTGCATCGTAGTGGGCGTGGGTGTGCGAGTGTGTGTGCGCGCGCTGTCGCCGCTGTCGACCTGGCTCCCTCTGGCTTCACGCCCACCAAGGCCCTGTCGCTGGGCCTGCCCCTGGGCCTGCCGGGCCTGCCCTGCGCCGCCAGCGCCGCGACCATCTTCTCCTCGCAGGGAGTCCGCTGCCACCGCGTCTTCAAGTACAAAGGTAACGGAACGGCTCGGCCCGAGGCTGAGCCAGCCCACTGGACTTGATCACCCACATGTGCGCGACCAGTGTGGCACACTGTGGGACGGAAACCCGCGTCCCCGGAATGGGCGTTGTGGCGTTGACGTGTTTTGGACACTGCATTGCTGCGCATACACTCGGGCGACTATGAACACCTTTTCCACGAGTCGTGTGCACACGGTGCGTTTTATTTGCCAGCTGCATTAGAGCGTTCGGTTTGCAGTAGTATAGTTTGTTCAGAGTACTGCCCGCTCGTACCCCTGCAATGTAAGCCCGATGCCCACACCGGATTTCGGCCTTCGGGTGTGCATACTGCGCCTCGCTTCCAGGCACGGTCCAGGGTTCCTCCTGGAGGCCGTGGTGGGTCTCGGGCAGCTCTGGGAATAGCGCGTTCGTTTTTCATTTTTCGTTGTTCTTCTTTGGGCGCTGTCCCGTTAAGCCTCGGCAAGTTCATGGAGCGCACGTCCCGGCCCTACCCTACCCGGTGGGCGGCCCGGGCGGCCCGACACGGCCCGACGATGCGACCAGGATGGCCAACCGGCACGTCCGCGTCGGCCAGGCACGGCAGGGCAGGGCAGGGCAGGCTGACCTCAGTGCGCTCTGCAAGCTCTGCACCACACCGTGCGTCCAGCCTTCCTTCCTTCCACCTTTCCAGCTCCAGCTAGCGCCCAGGCGTGCCCAAGCCGTCGGCCGGCCGCGTGGCCGCGTACCTGGCCGCGTACCTGGCCGCTGGCCGGACCGCGCGCCGGCTTTTACAACCCACCTTGACAGGTCACCCTGGGGAGGGGGAGGGAGATGGGCACGCGGGCCAACGCGGGCAGGGGGCGTACTGGAGCACTGGAGCGGTGCAGCAGCGACGCAGCGACGGAACACGCACGCGCGCTTCGCTGGCTTCGGCTTGGCTCCTCAGCGACCGCCGCCCCGCCCCGCCCCGCCCCGCCGCGGTCCCGTTCCGCCGGGCGGACACCCTACCCTCCCTCCCCCGCCCCAGTGGCCCCAGTGGCCCCAGTAGCGGCGTGGCAGCGGTCTCCAGACTTGGCTCGGCTCCGATTTGTCCAGACAACGGCAGGGGGAGTGAGGGGAAGGCTACCCGACCACTTGACACTCCTGATGCAGCAGCAGCGCCGTCGTCCCGTCTGTGCTCGGCCGGCTGGGCCTGTGCCTGATGCCTGGGCCTGGGCCCCTCCCCATACGTGTTGGGCCGTTCGCTGTCCGTTGGGCCCCGGGCCTGGGCCCCGACTCGCCGGGCCGGGCTGGCCGTCGGCGTGCGGGAGGCAGGAGATGCATCGGTGCCCCATGCTCATGTTCCCCCTTCCTGTGCGTGCCTTGCATTCTGTATTGCGGGCGGGGGGGGGGGGGCGACCTTGCGCAACCCGGCACACTTTATCAGCCTTTCTGGAAATGCGGACTAGACCTCCCTGTTCATTTCGCTGGTGTAGCGCAAAAGATGGATGCGGCAGTCTTGGCTGAGATTGAGCAGCGCTGTGCCGCCCTGCAGCGCGTCGGGACGTGGGCGTGGCGGGAAGGGGGGGGGTGCTTTTTCTTCATCGTTTGGCGGACGCCCAGCCGGATGCTGGAGGGCCGTGACGCCGGCAGCCGGCCCAGCTGGCCCTCCCTGGAAGCTGCGAGGGCTGCGAGGGCTGAAAGCCACATCTGGAAACAGTTTGCCACGACGGAAGGGGTGGCCAGGATGCGGAAAAGGGGGTGGGGGCACAGTGGGCCAGAAGACCGGTGGAGGCGGCCAAAACTCTAGACGCGTTTTGAGCTCCAGAGTCGCTAACCAGGACTCGAACGGAACGTGTGACCCCATCAATGGATTCCTCGTTCGAAGGGCAATCCGTTGGAGGGGTCACACGTTCGGGTCGAGTCTCATTCAGCTACTCTGGAGCTCAAAACGCGTCTAGAGTTTTGGCCGCCCCACCGGTCTTCTGGCCCACTGTGTGTGTGTGTGTGGTGGGGGGGGGAGGAGGCAGCCCCGCCGCTGCACCCCTTCAAAGAGACTGGCTGAGTAAGCGGCGTCGGTCAGGGCGAAGCTTAATCTCACTGTACAGTTTCCTCCCTCGCGTGCACACGTCGAGCACCTGCGTCCGTATGCACGACACACGCTCAGAAAAACAACCCTCGCCCGCCGAGATTTTCCTCTTTCGGACCCTTTTTCCGCAAAGGCCATTTCCGGGCCGCAATTTGTAGTACTTCCTCGGCGCCCCGCAGGGAAGGGGACTTGTTGTGTATGAAATCGCGATCGGCAAGATCGGAGGATTGGGGCCTGGCCGGCCTGGCTGGCCTGGCTGGCAGTGTAGTCGTCGTCGATACGAATCAATGCCTGGCGGTAATTGCTGTGATCGGGTCGGGGCCGAGAGTGGAGGCGCACCGCGCGCGATGGAGTCCGCGATGACGGGGCGGCCGCGACGGGGCGGCCGGGACGGGCACGCGAATGACGCCACCAGGATGTAACGTGCAATGGCCTGGCGGCCAGGCAATGCCGCGCGGTGCCGCAACAGCAATCCATAGCGTTCCCACGCCGTGCCGTGCCGTGGCGTGCCGTGCCGTGCCCTCCACGCACCGTGCATCCCCGACCACCCCAACACGACAAAGGCTGGGCAGCGTGCGAGCGGCGGTGCGCGCGGGTCGTCTTGAACACGGCCTGCCTTTGTAAGAGTGATTCCGAGAGTCGTTTTCGTCGCGCTGTCTCCCTCGCACATTCGCGGGACGCTCCGCGGGTGCGAGAGAGACAGAGCGACTCTCGGAATCCGCTGCTGGAGGAGCTCGGGAAGACCGAGAGACGCATGCAAACGGGAGAAACGTCCGCTTTCGCCGCGCGTCGGGACAAAACGCACGCCGCGGCGCCGCGGCGCTGGGAAAGAAGACCCAGCGGCCATTCGGCCATTCGGCTATTCACAGCGCCACGCGTAACGCCGTACTGTCCATTCCCTCAACCCTGAGCCAGCGGCGACCAAAGGAAAAGTTAAACAGCCGAACCCCACCGGGGGCCTCATTGTCGGAGTGCTGTTCCGGTGCGTTATAAGGGTTCGGTCCTTTGTTTCGCTCGTTGTTCCGAGGCTGTTTGCCACACTCATGATGGCACCAAGAAAAGGCCTGCATAGCAAAGGGTCGCCGCTGGCTCAGGGTTGAGGGAATGTACAGTATAACGCGCACAGCACAATGCCACGGCGCCACGCCCTAGCGCCTCGCGCGTGGTTTTGCACTCCGCAGATCCGCGACGCGCCCGACGCTCCCAGACGTGTGCGGCCCGACATAAGCGGTTTGCGTCGTTGGGTGGAGTTTGCGGAGTATTCTGGGCGCCAAGGATACTGCTTTGGCATTGCAAAACACTATGTGATAAGTACGTCAAGTGCATTTCTTCGGCCCAAGAGCATTTTCCCGCCAAGTGCATCTCTTCGGCCCGAGAGCTGGGAGTGCTCGGACGCAGTCACAGACTGGTCGGGCGCATCCGCGCACAGTGGGCCAGAAGACCGGTGGAGCGGCCAAAATTCGAGACGCGTTTTGAGCTCCAGAGTCGCCAAGAGGGACACCAACCGAACGTGTGACCCCACCAATGGATTCCTCGTTCGGAGAGCAATCCATTGGTGGGGTCACACGTTCGGTTCGAGTCCCATTTAGCGACTCTGGAGCTCAAAACGCGTCTATAATTTTGGCCGCTCCACCGGTCTTCTGGCCCACTGTGCCGCGTCTGCCGAGCGATTCAGCCGAGTCGCTTCCAAAGGGGTATAACTCCATGCTACGAAAGACGGCCTCCTAATCGTGACGTCAGCGCCCCCAAGTCAGTGGTACCAACGTAAAGAACAGAAACTGCGGTAAAAGCGGTCTGCCCGGGTGGGTGTCGAACCCGCATCCCCCAAGCGATGTGCGGCCACGCTAACCATTGCGCTACTGAAAACGTGTCAGGCTGGCGGTCCAGCGCAGCTTCTTGGCGGACCACGCTGGGTCAGCTCCCACTTTTCGGTTCAGATGTTGGCACCTCTGCTGCCGGTGCGCTGCGCAGACGGGCCACGCGCACCCATAAGAGATATCCCCCTTTGGTCGCTTCGTCGCTCTGTCTCTGTCGCACTCATGGGGTTCTCCATAAGGGTTCGAGAGAGACAGAGCGAATCACGCGGTTGATCCTCGGAGCGTCGGTCCTCGGGTCGCGGCACTTTCGCCGCATCCCGCCGCGTGGCGCGTCGGCGCGTGTCTCGTGACGGTCGCGGCTCCGCCAGCCAGCGCCAGCCAGCGCCAGCCTCACCGCGAGGAAAGCGATAGCGGCTAGGTCTCACGCTCGCGGCTCCGCGGCTCACGCCCCCGCCGCCAGGCACGCCGGCCCAGCCGGCTTTGCTTTCCCACGCGCTGGTCCACTGTCGCGTCTTCGCGTCTTCGCCCGGACGATAGGTGTGCGGGGGCGGAGGGGGCGGATTAGGAAGACGGGGGTCATCACGGCCTCGGCCGCGGTCGTACCGCGCCTTGGCCGCGCCTGCCGCGCCGACCTCGCGGCCACGCCACGCCACACAGTGGGCCAGAAGACCAGTGGAGGCGGCCAAAACTCTAGACGCGTTTCAAGCTCCAGAGTCACTAAATGAGACTCGAATCGAACGTGTGACCCCACCAATGGATTGCTCTCCGAACGAGGAATCCATTGGTGGGGTCACACGTCCGGTTCGAGGCCTGTTTAGCGACTCTGGAGCTCAAAACACGTCTGGAGTTTTGGCCGCCTCCACTGGTCTTCTGGCCCACTGTGCGCCACGCCGCGCCACGCCGGTCCAGGAAGGCGCGCCGCGAACGGAGCGAGGCCGAAGCTGAAGCTCTACACGACTAGGAATCTAGTCCCTAGTCGTGTGAAGCTCTAGTCTCCACTCGACGGACCATTGTGTGTGACTGAGAGGCGGCCTACCCTCCCAGCGGCAGGGGCGCAGGGCAGTCCATTCACTGTAGAAAAAAATCCACGGGAAAAGGTACAGGCACAGTCTGGTAGACAATTCGCCTGG